AGGCGCGGAGGATCGACCACATATCGGGAGAGCCCATACAACTTGCGCGGTTTTTCTTTTTATAACTCGCCCTCCCGAGAAGACGTAAAAATACACTGCAGGAATAAGTCAAGAAATTGTCTTCCAGAAGCCGTATTTCAGTTTGCATTACTTATAGTCTGCTTTAGTATGACCTGTATGACATGGTAATCAGTATTAGTATTAATATGTATCGCTATCGCAATGATTAATCACGTTTTAATTAATTAATGGTGTATCGATACGCGATCAATAAAAAATTATTAAAAAGAGATAAAGATGACGTTTATTCTGAGGAATGCGAATATTGTTATCAGGGTTAACGTGTATACAGGGTGTCTCACTTTATCTTTGCGTTTTGGGAGAACATCGAGGAAGCCAATTCCAGTTTATAGCTTTTCAATTGTTATGGTCATACATCCTTACGGTTAAATTTCAAATTAAAATGTTATTAAAGCCGAACTTTAGAACTAAAATTAGTAAAAGAATGTTTCGTAACGTAATCTATTTGATAATTCATAGTGTAATTTGCGAAAAGACTTTTTCGATCACTTATCATTTATCTTTCGATCGTCTTGAGATCTTTCCTATTTACAAAGAAATGATCACTTTAGATTTCAGAGAATTAATTATTAAAAAATAATTTGTGCGAGAATTGAGACACTCTGTATATCTGTGTAGATAAGCGAAGAATTAAGTGAGCCCGTAATTAGTTTTATCTCTCTCTCTCTCTCTCTCTCTCTCTCTCTCTCTCTCTATCGTCATACTTATCTTTTACTACTATCGTAATACCTATCGCTTGCGACATTGGCGCGCGTACATGTATCGAAACGATTCGTCACACTTAATTTTTTTTTTTTATTAAAGCGACTGTCTCTGCAATAAGATGCATTCGCGATTCATGCGACAATAGTCGTGGAAAGCGTGAAACACTATTATGCGGCATTTAGATTTAAAACTAGAAAGGACAAAACTCGAGAACTTGATTTACCGGTAAATGTGATGCGGTATTAAAAGTTTGTTTGTTTTCGCACATTTAAATGAAGATTTATAAAATTAACCTGGGAAAACCATTTTGTTAATCACTGCAACGATAGTATCATTGCAGGCCACGCTAATCGGTTTTCATGTGAGCGTGAATTGAAACTTATTTTAGAAAAGCTCTCATTGCGTTATTCCTTCCGAGAACGACTTCCATTCGAGAAATAATTCAACACATTCGTGCAAGTTTTTTGAGGAATTATAATTACATTTCTTGAGAAACAAACTATCAAGAGAAATAAGCTATCAGCTCGAAATTTAAATTGTCATTTTTCCTAAGTATAACATGTAAGTTGTTGATCTTTTCTAAACTGATTATCATCACGATCGCGCGTATTCATTGCCGAAAGGAGGCAACCGAATGCTCCTCCATTCCGCTTCGTTCATCTGAAATATGCGCATCCGCCCCGTTTGGTGGACTGTAGAAACATGTAGGAATAATAAGCTCAGCTCCGATTCTCTCGAGACTTCAATCGGAGTATTCGGAGCAATGACAGAGAGCACGAAGGAGCACGTTATCCTGCATGAATCGCCAACTTGCTACCACGTACATACCTGTTGCGAGTAACGAGAAACACGACGAGAGCGGCTATATGTCGGCGGCACGCTCCATTAAGAGACACTACACTGGCACTAGACTTCCGATGAGCGGCTCGATTTTCATATCCGCTCTCTTCGGAGATCAGCACGATGAGCACGATCGAGCGAGTGAATAAATAAATAAATAAATAAATAAATAAATAAATGAACGAACGGACGGAAAAACGGACAGATGGACGAGATGCGTTCGTGTAATGATGGAGACTAAACGTAAGCGAGCACAAGGTAATCGAGGTGAGATGGAGGTGAGGAGCGAACACAACCGGTTGCGACCTGGAGAGTCGCGCGGTAGTCACGAAGAGCGATCGTCGTCGTCGTCGTCGTCGTCGTCGTCGTTCCGTAGGATGGAACCACGGTGAACCGGCACATTAACACGTCCGCTCGGCTTCGGTTCGGCTGGGATCGGGTGTGCCAGCCTGCAGTGCCAAGTGCCAGGTGGAAGCTGGCTAAGCGTGGAGGTGGTGGTAAGGTCTCACGCGCTTCGGACCGTTTCGGGCCGCTTCCCCACCGTGCTGGCACGCTCGCTGCGGCGCGGCGGGGCGAGGGAGGGGAGGGGGATGATGGTACTTCGGTACCATATCCAACCACTGTACACAACCAACTGTGACGGACCGACTGGTGGTCGTCAGCGTTCGCCAAGTCGAATCGCTTCCTGCAGTCAGGTAACAGATTAGCTATCTCGCCGCTCACCTGGCATGTGTATATCCCGTGCATGCGATCTCGCTTCTAAGGCTCTAATGTAGAATCGGCACTATCGACCGCGACCTGTCTTGTCGACGACTTGCACGCGAACAAAAGAAACTGATAACATTTAATTTTAACATGTCCTAATGTCCCACATGCCTTTCTTTTAATATACAGAGTGTTCCGTAAGTTTTTGCCAAGAGCTTTTGTGTAGAGCGGACTAAACTGAGTTGAAAAGTCTTCTACCATTTTGCAATTTTCGCAATAATTAACAAGATATTAATTACTAAAAATTACCGAATATTGGTCTTCAATAATTTTTTATTCAAATACCATCAACTTTACAGAAAAACTGCAAGAGACAAAAATCATTTATTTTCTTCTCATAGAACTCTAAGAATTTTTTCAGAATTTTTTATCAACTTTTTAGACTGCATTTTCTTATTTTTACCAACGTGAGAAAATACGGTATTGAACAATTCTGAAAAAATTCTGAAAAATTCTCAGAACTTTATGAGAAGAAAATAAACAATTTTTGTTTCTTGCTGTTTTTCTGTAAAGTTGATAGTATTTGTGTAACAAATCACTGAAAACCAATATTTAGCGATTTTTAGTAATTAATATCTTGTTAATTATTGCGAAAATTGCAAAATGGTACAGGACTTTTCGACTCAATTTAGTCCGCTCTATCTACACAAGGGCGCTTGATAAAAAATTTCGGGACACCTTGTTTGTTGTGTGTGTGAGTGAGTGCGCGCGCGCGAAGAAAACTGCAAGCTTGACCCTATTCATTTTCATCGAAAAAAATCAACAAGATTGCGCAACTGTTTTACATTGAAAATATATTTTCATTTTGTATCAATTCGACGTGTGAGTAGAATACATACACGTGGCTTAATCGCTTCTTTTTACATTTTTCGCAATTTATATGTACCTATATACTGTGTTTCGGTAGCAGATAGCAATCATCGCAGCGTACAGTTTACATTTATCCGTCTGTTTCTTTACCATACTAACTACGAATTTCCAAGAGTTTCAAGTAGCCGTCCATAGTCGACATAAATAATATACATAGTTATTTGGTCGTGTAACACGTATGGCGTAACGTTTATATAATAAGCACGTTCATATATTATTTAGGTAATAAACATATACATACTTTTTAGCAAAACATATAAAAATGCGATAATACTTACTATAGTGTTCTCTAATCGAGCTTATACAAACGTACTTGTATTTATATTCAATATAGATAGTTTACTTGGACCGTACGTGCAAATTGTATTCGCACGTCTGGCTACTCAAAATGCAAGATTTATCCTGCGAATAAATCTAGATATATTTTGATAACAAGAATGATTTCTTCCATAGTGATCATAGTGATCAAGAATGATTGATTCCATAGAAATCATGCGACGATGGTGATGAAATAATTAACGCACATAAGTATATTAGGTACAAGATTTATGTGTGTGTGTGTGTGTGTGTGTGTGTGTGTGTATGTGTGTGTGTGTATGTATGTGTGTGTGTATGTATGTGTGTATGTATGTATGTATGTATATATGTATGTATATTTATGCGAGGATAAACTGATTACATTGCATGCAGCTCCTGGCGTATACGTGAAACGATCAAGCTCTTTGCTACTACATCTTGCCTATCTACGAATTTTCAGATTTTTCGACACATAAAGTTCGAAGGAAGCTCATCATTGACCGTTTTTCACAAATGTTGATAAAATTTTTATCAGCCAGCAAGATACAAGACAGAAATATCTATAAAATGACATTTTTTCTTTTCTTTCTTTGCATTCAAGGAAATAAATTACGTATGTATATATACGAGTATATATTTTTTTTTATTTCCAAAACAGAATATTTGTAAGAAATTGTGTCAAGTTGGGACAAATTAACTTTGCATAGCTTGTATTTATCTATTCTACTTGAGAAGACTTGAATGCGAGTCAAGAAGTAACAAGTACTATTAACTGCACTGGTGGGTACTCTCTGTCTGGTTCGCGTTTTCGAACAATACGATACAATAACATTAAATAATCTTGTATGAGTTGTATAACAAATAAGACTAGGACTTGATACAAGATGCATTGCTACTTATCTGAATCGATTCAAAGATAATATAGTTCAAGATTTCATCATTTTTATGTTCAAATTGCTAGTAGTTTAATGATGTATAAGGATATAAAATATGTAGAAAATGAATTGGAAATTCTTAAAAGATTTTCCTCTTCTATTCTTATATCAGATAAAACACATTAAAATAGTCTCGATGCTTACATCGCTGGTCGGTTGTCAACCAGTACTTTCTTAACGATTTTTTAAATAAAAAATTTATTTAAACAACGTAAAGATATTTTTAAGACTCCGATAGTAACAAAATGTATAATATATATGACGATTATGGTATATGTATAAAGTTGTAAAATGACAATTTTGAAATATGGGCCCCTCGATTCGCAATGTGTAACAACATACGTGTAATTTTGCAAATTTCGGAAAAAAATTGGTTGCATAAAGAGTTTTATTCGAATATTTAACGAAAAGATTTCATTTCGAAACCATCTTCGATTTACATGTAAATATGTTATATAAAAAAAATTCAATTTTATATATATACACACACACACACACATATATATATATATATATATACTCTCGGAAAGATATTTTAATACTGTTAATTACATCTGTGTTGCATTGCGTTGTGATTACCACAAAGTTATCCTGGTCTTTCAAAGGGAGTCCATGTACCTTGCATATACATATATACTATTATTTACGTTTGTAATCACGTTGCGCAGTCGTGCAAACGTTCTTCTGGAAGTAAATACTTTTCTACATCAATATACAACATCAGGTTTAAAGACAATGCCACTGAATTAACAGGCTTACGTCATATTAATTATCTCTCCAATTATTTCCTGATTTCTCATGCAGAAAATATGGATATGGATTAAGCAGACTCTAACGTTGTCACCGACAAACTGACAAATGATCGCTCCATATTCTATCAGCTCGTCGATCCAACTCGGGTTACGTAATCACCGATCACCGACTTCACAAACAGGCATAATTACATATATAATCACAAAAATAGGTTCCAGAGTATTCTTCCGAGTATGACGATATCTCTCAGTGATTTGATTCATATCACGCAATTTAGATTATCGACATACATACACGTAGAAATTCACTGAAAGAGCGCGGACACATCCCAAATCTTAATAACGCGATCTTGGCCGATGGTCAACAATCTTCGCCTAGGAGCATCTAGATCCATCCCGACGACACTGTGCTTGGCATCATGAAAAGAGGCCAACGATGATTGGCTATGTAAATAAAAAACGAATATTATATGTCTTGCTTTGCAATAGTCTTTGCTATGTCTTAAGGAAAAACATGACGCTCATCTGACAACTTACTTCTCCGACTTGAGCTGTATGTGACATTGATCGCAGACTCTTACTTCGAACTCGAAGCCCATCGCCGGTATTGGTATTCGTTGAGATGTGCAACGAGCGCATAACGCACGACCGCAATAGCGACAATGATGCTGTCTTAATCCCAACTGTCGTTGATCCATCATAGCTTTTATATTCCAGAAGAAGGGTCTTCCACAAGCCTGGATTTCATTGGAGTATCTTAGAGTAATGTTATAAAGCAGGGAAATGATACCGTATTTAAAGACTTTCCTTGGAACACATACCTGACAGACATCGGATTCGACCCAAGCGGCGGTTTCCTTCCTATTTGCCGCCATATTCCAACACACAATCACGCCGTCCTCGCCTCCGGACAAGAGCAAGCGGTCGACGTTCGCGTAGCATAATGCCGTTACTTTATTACTGAAAGAGAGAATTTTTTCTTTTTTTTCAGAACATGTTTTGAAAGTGACTTAAATAATATTTCCGACCAACCAAAATTTTTGAAAGAATTTTTCGCGTGCGCGCTTACTGGTGTCCCTGAAGTTCGTAAGCGGTGCCTTGGCGACCACCAATGTCCCAAACGATGATGCTTTGATCAAAACTACCAGAAAACAATAATTGTTTCTCCGAGTCCCATGCCAACGTATGGATACTTCCTGTGTGCGCCTTTAATGTAGTAATGAAGGTAACGCCATTATTGTCCAGCTTTAGCATGGCTATCTGACCGGAATAATCTCCTACGAAAGCGTGTTTGGATTGGGCATCAAATCTGTAGACGCGCGAGTTAAGTTTCTCATAGATGAGTATATTCGACCAAAGCATCTTTCATTTGTACAAAAACGTAAAGCTTTTTGCAAAAGGATACTGTAGAGCGGTATACCATGCGTCTGTTTGGTACGATCCTAATTTTTGTCCTGTTTCGGAGCTGTGTAATTGAAATAATTTATCACGGCCTATACTCAAGACCCATTCAAAATCTGCTGCAAAAATGATTCCTGTGACTCTTGCTTGATGCGCTAGATAATCGCGCATAGCTGTCATTCGATTGTAATCTTGCTCTAAAATAAATTCCTATAATCGAAAAAGCAAGTCAATTCCTATAATCCCAGTTAAGTACAATTCTAATGATGGACAGAGTAAAAGGTGACATGACATACATTAATGCTTCCATTATCCAGGCCTACAAATAGTTGCCTCGTTTCTACGCAATAGTGCATAGAGGTAGCACCTGCTGGCATGTATTGACAAATACTCGGCCAATAATGACCAGAATCTCGCTTCAGCCATACTCTAACTGTCCTATAAAAAAAAGTCAAAGTAAAACAAGCAATTAAATGTTGTCCTTTTAAGAGTTGTATCCTGCAATTGATATAATATTATATATATATAAAAGAATTGTATGTGTGTGTTTAAGTAAGAATGAGAGAGAACGCTCGCCTAGCGCACCCACAAAACACACACACACACACACACACACACACACACACACACACACACACACGAATATATGTATATATGTGTACGTCAAAACTTTCTATATACTTATGTTGATATAATTTGATGCAATTCTGATACCGTTTAATATACATTATACAAAAACCACATAAACAATACATACGTAACATACAAAATAGAAAAATGGGATTTAAGGTGTGTCCACGTAATGAAAAAATTGCGCGCAATTTTCACAACGAAAATAAGAAATTCTAAAGATGGAAAATAAAGAGAGACAAGATAGTAATACAGACATGTGAAAGAGAGCGTGCGCTTAAGGAAAATATCGAAAATACGCAGTTTCTTAGAAAATATCTACGGACAAGTACCTGTCATCGCAAACACTGATTACACCCTCTTCCCGTGGGATAATGATAGCCGCATTAACGTCGTCGCTGCAGCCCTCCAATTTCGACAGGAGAACCGGCTTGCGGCTGCTGCTGAATTTATCGTGATTCACTCCCGGGGCGGGTTTTATTTCCGCTGCCATTTCTTAACCGCGCGAATGTAGTCACAAGTTCACAAGCGCAATTGCCATTTGACAGTTGGACAGTTGTCAGATACTGAGCACGGTGCTCGCAGATCAGAGATAGGGACTCTAGTTACTAGCTAGTACTTGAACCGTCACCGCGTTCCACTTGTCACTTGAGCAGTTGAAATCACGACTGCGTTTCAAAACCTATTGAAAATAGATGCGTATCAAATCGGCTCGCCAAGTAAATGAATATGATTGGTTGTCACGTATACATCCTACCAATCACATTCAATCGCTCGACGAAAGAGCTAGCTGTTTTGTCCGACTTGGGTTGCGGTCCACTTGACGCTACAAACATTTCGAAGCATTAAGGTACAATTTCATGCAGCGAAGTCTCGCTGGCAAAAACCCCCCACTCCGTCGATTCGTGCGAAAATGCTTAGTTAACGAAGCTTCACTCAAAGTTCAACACTGTTCAACCAGTGTTGTTAGGTATGCCGCCTTTTTAGCGCATGCGCGTTCGAGTATAGCTCACTGCAGTATTGGCTGCGTTCAGCAGAACGTTTGTTTTGCAACTGTTGGAAGTTTCCTTCGCGCTGATTGGATCATACTTGTAGATCTAGAAGAATGGTCCTATCTCAACAGACAATCATAAAACGATTGCAAAACTGTTGAGTGTGCTGAACGCAGCCTAATATCATTTTCGATTGGGGTGCACTGGCTGCACTCAGTGTCAAGAGCGTGTTCGATTGGCAGTGTCAATGCGCATTTGGCTAGTATCACGTATTTATTTGATTGCACGACACTCGCGTAGTGCGCACTCAGTGCGCACAAAGTGGCACGAAATATTTTGACGGTGTCAGTTCAGTGCACTGGATACATATATAAGATATTAGTGCATCGTTTTGTCAGTATAAAAGGCATACAGTAGGGGCAAGTAAATCTATAATTTATATCATGCAAATTATTGATAAATATGTACATATATGATATTCTTGATATCTCATATATTATATTTAATTACATATAGTAAAAAATCATTATTTAAAGTTATGAACATGAGATGTCGAGGTTATTTTTCTGCGTCTTTCCTGCAGTCTAGTCAAGTCCTTACAATCTTACAACTTGAAATGGCACTTCAGTTTTAGCACTGAAAATCTTGACGTGTTCTTTTGAACTTGCACTATTCAGTGCAATCCATGGAACTTGTCCAGTGTTGGTGTGAACTGAGTGCGCACTAACTTTTTCCCAAGCGAAAACGCTATTAGATCATCCAATTAGTATTTTAGATGTGGAAGAATACATCAATAGCAGCAAGCGCTCACTAAACTGTTGAATCCGCTGAATGCAGCCATTCTTTGATTAGTCAATTCATAAAATTCTTTGTTCTGATTGGTCGCCCAAACGCTTGAAGCGTTTGTAGCGTCGAGTGGACCGCAGCCTTGAACGCGCTACTATACTGACCACGAGTGCGGTCCACTAGAGACATTATAATAAGAGACTGGCATAAGTTCTCGTTGGATAGAAAATGGCATTGGGCGCATTCAGCGGACTCAACAGTTGAGTGAGCACTCGCTCTTATTGGTGTATTCTTTTAGATTATCCAATCAGAATTTTAGATCTAGAAGAATACGTCAATAGCAGCGAACGCTCACTCAACTGTTGAGTCGGCTGAATGCAGCCATTCACAGGACGATAAATCATAGGACGCGTTCACAACTAGGACGGAAAAGCAGAAAAAGTAGGAAAGTAGAAACCAATCAGAATTCGGGCTGAACTATCATCTGTTACATCCCAGGGTTCGGCCACAGTATATACAGTAGCGCAACTCTCACGATTTCACCGTGGATAAAAATGAACTGCACATGCGCGAGCGAGGTATGTAACCAATCAGGGCACTTATATTCCATCTCGCTTCTTCTCTTTATTGTCGCTGTCTGTCTGCACCGTTAAAATGTCCATATAAGAGATTTAAATAGCCATTTAACAGAAAGTGACAGTTTTGATTAATTATAACTGATTAGTTTTCTCTGTTGAATGCAGCTATTATCAATTAGTTAACGTAATAGGTACGTTTCAGCGGAACACAACAGTTTTGAAACCATTTTTATGATTGTGTGCTAAGATAGAATCCACCAATCCTTTAGATCTAAAAGTATAATACAATCAGCGCAAAGAAAACTTCCAACATTTGCGAAATAAACGCTGAACGCAGTCATTTTTTATTCGTTTTTTAAAATAACATGTAACAGGTTTAATATTGTTGTGATTTGACATATAGTAAATTGAATTAGTCGAATAACTGGATTTTATCTGACAAATATAAGAAGAAATTTAAAAAATAAATTTAACACCGTTTTTTTAACAGTAAAGGAAGAATATTTCAAATTGGAGATAAGTAATATCGATCAGTTAAAATAAAACGGATTGCTATATTATTATTAGTTTTCTTATTGCGTTTATATTTTGTAACTTCGACTATCATTGCAAATAAAAAAAGGTTAAGTATAAGTACGAATCTCCTTATATTTCCTCAGAAATAAATGTATATCTATTATGTTTCATTTCTATTTTATTTTCTGTTTTAAATATAATATATATTGTGTAGGTCTGTTATTTTTCGAAGGTTCTGAACTTATTGGATCAGTGTACACCAGTTCAGAACTTACAGTGGAAAAAGAACAGACCTTATGCAATAAAGTAGAAAAAGAGAAAAGGTTACAACAGAGAGAAGAGGTGAGATGGAATATCAATGCTTTGATTGGTTACATACCTCGCTCGCGCATGTGCAGTTCATTTTTATCCACGTTGGCATCAAAGGTGCCGACAGAGAGTTGCGCTACTGTATATACTGTGGTTCTAGTCTTCTTGTCTGCGTCCCAATGTAGTCGCCATATTTCGTAGATTTCGTTTAAGTCCCATGTGGAATTTGTGCGATTCATGTGATTATTGGCTATTTTTCGGAAAATTCTGGCTGCGTTCAGCAGAACGTTTGTTTTGCAACTGTTGTAAGTTTCCTTCGCGCTAATTGGATCATACTTTTAGATCTAGAAGAATGGTCCTATCTCAGCAGACAATCATAAAACGGTTGCAAAACTGTTGAGTCTGCTGAACGCAACCTCTGAACCAAATTATGGCTGCTGACGGTGCTGACGTTTCGTGGCTTTATTAATTCGTGATTGCTCTTGTTTACACCGAGCATTTAATACACATACTAACCAGTAACTTTCTATTAAATTATCTTAATTTCGCCGATGCGTGTAAATGTATACACGATATGACTATTTAAGTAATCATATAGATGCATATTGTACCAGCTTAGTACACTATTCTTTAAATTTATTGGCGAAATTAAGATAATTTAATAGAAAGTTACTAGTTAGTACGCGTATCAAATGCTCGGTGTAAACTAGGACAATGTGAGCATGCTGACAAACCAAATTGAACACCAAAAAACGGCGCTTGTAAGCATGAGCGCTTGCAGCGTGTCAGCGTTCAAACCGAACGCAGCCTATATCATGGTCCACTTGATGCTACAAATGCTTCGAAGCATTTTTTGATTGGTCAATTAGTAAAATTCTTTCTTCTGATTGGTCAATCAGAAACTTCGAAGCATTTGTAGCGCCTAGTGGACTGTAGAGACACTATAATAAGAGACTGGCATAGATGGGCTAATTTTTGATTGGCTGGATATGGAATGGCAGAAGCCAATCAAAAGTCGTGCTGGTAATAGATGTGTCACGTCCGTAACATTTCCATTTTTGTCCAGTAATTATTTTTCCGAACAGACTCACTTGCAGACCCGAATGTACGAACATCTCCAGAACGCACCTGACGCGTCTCTCCCACCACAAATAACTAGCAACGCGCTAATGGAGGGGTTTTAGGAACGCCCTTGGACAAAATAAGAGTAGAGTAGTAGCGCGCATCGAGCAGTGCAGACACGCTCTCTTTTTCTTCCGACCTACCAGTCACTGTCCGGTGGTTTAGAACACCGCGCGCGAAGGAAAATCCGAATAAGTGTAACCCGCGGAACTTTTCCTATTTCCGTTTTCTTCATTACAAATTCAACTCAAATTCTAGACTTAAGAAATTTTAAACCTAAGACTAAACTTTAGTTTTTCCTTTTTTTTATATATTTTATTCTCAAGTATAACTCATAAGTCTAACATTGTCTTGAGTGAACTATAATTAATAAACTCTTATTAACTGAATTTGAGTGAACTCTTTCGACGAAAACCCTTTTTAATCGCTCCTATACATCCAATTCGTGCTAGTGATAATTAGCGAACCTAGACTATTGCACACACAAGTGCTACGTATTACGAGGACGAATCCGGCGCCGCATCCAGGACAACGAAAG